TAGTAATAGTAGCACAAATGTAATTAGAAACTGTATATATGTTAGAGAAAAGCCTTTAAATAAAAATAAAGTTTCTATGTTGGCAATATAGAAAAAAAAAAAAAAAATTATTTAAATGCTGTGGTCTACAAAATTTTGACCCGCATTATACAATTGTTATGTAATTTTTGGCCGGAATTAAGTTTCTAACTTTTTTATTACAAAAATATAAAATTTTCAGGAAATAGGTCTTTATTATGGTAAAATTAGTTCAGAAACATTTTTCACTTAATAGGCAGATATGATTTTATTGGTAAAATTTTAAGCAATTTTAGTCTAAATTTTTTATCATCGCTTTTAGCCAATCAAAATTGAGAATCTGCTGTAATGAAGAACTAGAGTATTTCTTGCAATAATTATGTAATTTGAGCACTTCATGCTAAATTAAAGCAATAATTATGATTTATCAGCCAGAAAATAAAAATTTTGACATCAGCTAGCTGGTCAGCTAAGCTGATCTAGTCGACTATCATCAACTACAGCTATAGCCAGTCAGCTAGCAGGCTATAGCCTAACCGAACCCATCTCTAGTATGGGGTGTGAAAAGTACTCCTATTTTTAATATTTGCTCTGGTATTATATATTATTAGAGTTAGCATTAGACAATTATAGTGAACTGTTATGATATGTTTTTTAAAGAGTCTTTACACTCTATACTATATATATTTTAAATTCTTAAAAAATTTCTTGTTTGTTTAAATTATAATATCTATATCAGTTATCCTGTATAACTGATATTTATTTTCGAGTTTATTAAATTTAGTAAATTCGGTTTTATTAAATTCGATTTTTCAGGTTTATTAAATTTAATAAATTCAGTTTTATTAAATCCGAATATCAAATATTCAAATAGGGTTAAACCGGTTTTAAATTTGAATACAACAGATCGGTTCTAATCTTTAAATAGTTGTACTGTTGGTGTTGGTGATGGAGGCAACAATAATAGTGAAGTAACTTTTGAAAGCTTCTTGGACAATATATTAGCATGAGAAAAAAGTGGATGTGTTGAAGGTGCTTCAATTGTAGCTAAATCTTTATTCTTAAAAATACATGTATATAAATAAACTATGTATAACAATAAAATATATCATAAATTATATATACCATATCTAATGCCCATATAGAAAGCATCATAAAAATTATTTCAACATACAAATCTTTGTGATTTTCCCTGTTAAAACAAGGCTGATTATATATACTGCAATTATGTGCTTTACAAATTTCTAATATATTTTTAGCAATGATTTTATCATATGAAGTCAGGGCATAGTTTAGTCCTTTGGTATCATCATCGTCATTGTTATCCAAATCTGATTCCTGTATAAATTAACTTTATTAACATAAGTTTAGTCTTAACTGACTGTCTTTTTATCGATAGCTCATTTAGCTGATATCACTTCAAATAATAACTTGCTAAAAACATATATCCGCGACTAGTCAAGAACCAACTCAAATCCTAAGTGATATCAGCTAAATAAGCTTTTAGTGAAATTATAGAGATATGACCCGATTATAAATTTATATGTATGTAAAACTAGTTTTTACATATAAAATTTATAACTGAAATAAAGCAGCACCGATCCCAACTATTTTGCAAAACTATTATCTAATATATATGCATATATATATATATATTCTAAACCCTGTTATATGTACTTTTTTTCATTTGGTTTGAGTAGATTGTGTAACCATAATATAAATTCCAATGTCATTTTTTTTAGTAGCTAATTTTGAATATTCGGATTTAAATTTTATAAAATCCTGTTCATCAACTAACTGGGTGCCTGCGCCCGCTTCTCTTTGTGTTTTAAAAGTAACACAGTAATCATTTGGCAAACTTTTTGTTAACAAAAGAACTTTATTATGAATGAATAAAAGAAATTCGTCTATAGTTGAAACAGGTTCTTCAAACTATTTTACAGATAACAACGTTCTATTTAATAGTTTTATAAACAATTTGTAACCTAATACAAATTAGGATTCTTCACTATTACTTGTCTTATCCTCACTTGTAGCAGCTAATGTTGATGAAAAAGATTTAGTTCTTCTCTACAAAAAAAAACAGTAAATTTATAAATATATATCATATAATGTAAAAAAATAAAATGAGTTTATTTTTTATTTTACCATTGGTGTATTATTAGTTTTTGCTATTGTTGTATTATTAGGGTTTGGCATTGTTGCATTATTAGGGTTTGGCATTGTTGTATTATCGATTGCTGATTTTGTTGACTTCTCTCTAGCTATACGAGGAGTCAATCTGACTAAGTTATTATAACATTGACCGCAAAGAGAAAATTTAAAAGATTTTTTTAAATTTATCCTATAATTATAATCCATAACATGTTTATGAATATATTTGAATTTAGGTGCGGACCAGGTAGGTTTGTAAACACGTATATATGCTTGTTTAACAAAACTAGTTCTGTTTTTCTTGGTTGGTACTAAAGCAACTTTACAATTGCATATGCTAATGCTTAAATCTGCAGCGCAATATAAACATTTACAGTACCCAAAGCAGGTACCATGATAATATTTAAGTTGTATATTCTTTGCATCTGCCATATGAAATTTGACTAATTGGGAAAGAAATTTTTTTACTATTTTAGGATTTTTTTAATATTTATTTAATTCCCGATTTTTAAATTCCTGATTCCTGATTTCCTGATTTCCAGTAATGTAAATCGACAAAATTCGATGATCACAGTAAATTGAAAAGCACTGTAATACTTTAAGACAAATTCAGATATTTAAAAAAAGCTGTGATACGTATATATAACAATGAGCCCATTGTTAATACTGTTGTAGTAATGTTCTTGGAACAAATTGCAAGTTAGTTTATGTGAGTAACTAAATAATTAATCATTTATTTTTTTACTTTAATAATTCTAATATAGAAGGTACTTGATAATATTACTAGTTGATAATTTGGTAATTTAGTTCTTGAAGAGACTATGTGAAAGGTATAGGAGATTTTAATATCACTTATATTTTGTAATTCAGCCTTAATATCTTTGTGGAGTAAATATTTAAATGTTTAGCTGGCATATTATTTGTTGTGCTTTTCTCTGCTAACACACGTGCCACACTCACTGCTTTATTATTTTTTTATATTTATATGTTACTCTGTATAGCTAAAAACAGTTTATATAACAGAAATTTGAAGCAAGAATAGTAAATATTTGGGTGTGGTGGTTTTGCCACATAGTTTTCATGCAGTTGTGGATACTCTTAATGCTCTCAAATTAAAATGAATAAAATAAATTAAATGAATTAAAAGGAATTATAATAAATTAATCATAGCAATGTAATTTTGCTAGAAGGAATACAATAATTTTCATTGTAGTTGTTGAGATAGCAAGTACTATACCATGTTATTGATTAAATATTTCAAGCGAAAATAATGAACATGCAACTTTATTTAAGTAGTAAACAAATAATTAAAGCGTGTTTTTTGTAAATATAAACACAATCCATAGTCTTTTTATTTTATTTTTAAAAGAAAAAAATTTTTATAAATTAAAAAATAAGTGGTTTTCCAATTGCAAGATGGTATATATTATTTCAAACTTACAATAATATAGGTTAATTAATAATCAACATAAATTGAGAAAGTAGCAGAATATTATATTATTTTAAAGTACTGTTATATTAATATCTTTGAAGATATTATTTTTATTTAATGTAGTAAGTATTCAATAATATTTTTATTCTTGAATAGAGTGTTTGAAAAGTATGAAAAATATACCTATCACTACTGTCATGCTTGAGGATTGTTTATTTGTTTAGATGATTAATGAATAAAGTTTAACTGGACTTCAAGAAAAAAATTTACTTTTATTTTATAATTCTTCTAATAGTGGCATTCATTGTATAACATTTTTAACTATTATTTTTTGAGATTATCATTTTTAACAATAAATCAATAATGAGAATAAAATACACTTTTTCTTTTTAGTAGCGTGGAATATTAATAATATTGGGATCCTTATATAATATATTAATATTATACATGTCTAATTAGGGTGTTCAATAAACTAATTAATCAAAACATAGTTAGGGTCATTAAGTTCAGATTTTTTAAAAGGTTATTTCACATATAAATTTATATATAAATTTGTATTAATTTAGATACATTTTTCTACACAACTAACAGACAAAATGTACCTTTTTTTAAAAAAAAACTGTAGTTCTAGACTAGCTCTATACTGTAATAGAACTGTTTTTTTAAATAACCTATGTTAATTATTAATAAAATTAATTTAAAATTTTATTAAAAGTTATTAAAAAGCCAGTTCTATTACAGTGTAGAGCTAGTCTAGAACTACAGTTTTAAAAAAAACATATACAATTTTGTTTGTTGGCTATGTAGAAAAATATACATAAATTAGTACAAATTTATATGCAAAATAACACTTTAAAAAAGGGGTATTTCTAGGCATCTCTGGTCAGAGATTCCTAACGATAATATTTTGGAGCTAAAAACCAATTAAAATGCAAAATAGTCACGTGACTGCCGTTTTCGTGTAGCATGAAGAACGATCTTTGCGAATCAGTCTGAAAAAACAAAACAACAACAAAAAGCACGAAAAAGAAAAAAATGTCAAAAATGACCATCTAAACCTATTTTGAGACACTAATTAAAAGTGTCGGGAAGGCGATTTTGCTTATATGACTTACCCTTGCCCTAACCCTATAGGACCCTAACCCTGATAAAGTTATATGATTAGGCATAGCTTCGGGCCAGAGATATATAAGCTAAACATATCTGACCAGAGATGCATAGAATTTTCCTTTAAAAAATCCGAAATTAATGATCATCATATATGACCCTAACTAAGTTTTGAACACCCTAATGTCTAATGTCTAATTTTATGTATTTGAAATCAGGATTTGTTAAAAATTCTTAACCATAAAGTGCATTATTAATTTTATTATCTTTGGTGCATTTAAATTGTAATTAATACCTATATAACTAGTATTTATTTTTCACATGCGCAAAAGTGTGCGCACGTAAAAAATGAACACTGCATATTACTTATGTCAGTTTATTATGCCAAGTAAATTAAGTTTAAATCTTAATAATTCGAACTTATTTTTCATACGAAATGTATTAAATTTTATAAAAATACAATACTTTATTTACGTTATTGAATTAATATCAAATATAAATTTTCTATCCAATTATATATGCAAACATATTCAGAAAATAAAAAAAAGTGCATACAAACTACATAAGCTATATATTTGACATGCTAGTAGATCTAGAAATTTTGCGATTACAAAATTTTTTATAATATATATATCCTCCACCTACCACGATAATAATAACAATAACTAATACAGTTATACCAACACCAATTCTTTCACCATATGAAATTGAATCATTTAAGTTTGTTGAATTCCCATATATATTTGATGCATCAAAAGTATTAACCCATGTGTAATTTTGTGTATTAAAAATATATAAATTATTATTTAATGTTAATGGGGATGATACTGACTGCGGTTGTGAAGAAACAACTGCACCTAAACAAAAAAGAAAAATCAAATTATTAATTAGGAATCTTATTAGAAGATTAATGCATCATGTGGATTAATTCAAAAATAAATTAAAAACGTTAGTGAACTGTAGTCCACTAAAATTGTTCTATTCGGATTAATCCTGGACACTATGCAAAAGATTTAAATTCAATTTAAAAATATTATAATTACCAAATGCAACAATCATATATATTCCATATATTATTGCTGAATGATCCATAAGTGTTTGTGGTGCTTTATTTTTAATAGCCGTCCAAGCATATGGCATAACATTTACATTTAATACAGCAACATCAGGTTGCACTTGAATGTAAGTGCTTCCTTGTCCACCTTGTCCACCATAAATAAGAATAAATCCATATTGAGCTATTTAAAATGTAATATAAATATATAAAATATTATAAATAAAAACAATAATAACTTATAATAACAATATTATTATTATGAAATGTACTTAAAACAGCTGAATGCCCACTACGGGCTGCAATAGAATCTCCACTAGCTGTCTAAAACAAAAAAAGTTATCGCCATATTCATTCAAGTCTGTAATAGTAAAATTATGTCATGTGTATTTACCGTAGATGACCATTTTAAAGCCACCGTATCAAATAACGTAATCTATTTGAACAATTCAAATAATTATTGAACAATATAAATATAATTTCCTTAGTGACTGTGAATTACAAATACCTCATTCATATCAATAATGCCGTTATAACTTAGACCACCAATGTAAAATATAAGATTGCCTTTCAATACAGCACTATAAAATATTCGACTACGTGGGGTGTTAGGAAAAGCTAATGTTGACCATTTCATCGCTTTTGTATCAAATATATTTGTATCATTATAAGCAATTTCAGGACTTGTCATCGTTAGGTTAGTTAAATATCCTCCAAAAAAGTAACATTTCCCATTACTATCAGTAACACCTGTTATAAGTTCACGTCCTAAAAATGTACTGTTAAAATTGTCAATATTTGGAGTTGTCCATTGTGAATTATTGAAATTAAATGCATATACAGATGAGGATGGAAGCATAAGAATTGATTCATTTAGCAGATTTTGTGACATTCCACCAACCAAGTAAACTGTGGACCCATCAATAGAGAGGCATGGCGTAGCAGAAAAAAGTGGAATTGGAATTGGTGAAGTAGTAATTTGACTCCATGGAGGTGAGAATATGTCAAATGTACGTGACAAATTAAGATACAATACTTGATCAGTATATCTCGGATTCATAGGATTGCCTCCGAAAAAGTAGATCATTGACCCAACTAATACATTAGCTTGCCCAGCCCGACCATCAGGACTAAAGCCTCTCACGTTTGCGAATGCTAAACTAATAACTATTAATAAAAGAAACAATGTTTTAAAGGGATTCATCTCGAAATTTAATTCTTAAAGAAGTATACACATATTCGAACCTTACAAATAAATAACTTTTATATGCAGACCAATTTTCACAAATATATTTTTTAATTGTTCTGATTTTCATTGTAATATGGTTTTGTAAGAGTTACTAATTTATGATATCTAAAAAAGGGGATCGTCTAAAGCCAGGTATATAGTAATTTATATGCGTCACGTGATTTTTAATTTACAAATTTTAAAAACTACCACGACCTCTATAAAAGGAAACCTTATGTAAGGATTTTGGAGATTAAGATTGGTTCAGAGTCAGACCAAGGTCAAATAACTGAAAACTCACTGATTACTATTGTTGTATGTAAAATTTCTCGTCCGTGTTTAATAATACTACAAGTTTAAAAATTTTTCGCGTTTTTTTTTTGTTTTGCGCATATTGTTACAACTAATTACTATTAATATTTTTTATTTATTTAATTTTTTTCATGTTCTTTTTACAGTCCATCATTTGATCATATCAAGAAGTAACGATGTACAACTTTGATTATCATTGAGCTAACTGTGAATGACTAAGGACTTACACTCGTAACAATAAAATAACCTTATTCTTGTCTCGTACTATTTCCTATCAACTAAAATTTCCGTTAGAACGTGTTTTAAAGGAAATATGCCCGATGTCCATTGTCCGAAATTTGCATGGGTATTAACATAGCATAATGTGGTTTAAATCTGATTGTATGGTAAATTTGATGATAGACTGAAATGTTACACAAAATGGTTTACATATGACGTAACGTTTTTCAGGTACAAAAATGGCAAAGATACATAAAATATTCAAAAATATGCCTTTCGTTCTAGAAACTGTCAAGATAATTCAGTAATCTGCAATTCAGAAGTTAGATGAGAGTAGAGATGGTAACTGTCAATTACTAACAGTTGATATCAGATGTACAGCACTACTAAACTGTAATTAAAAGTCTATGACCGATTATTATTGTAACCGAGGTTAAATAGCGGTCATTAACCGGTTATAACTGTGCAATAACCGAATATGACTAACCGAACCCATCCATAGATGAGAAGCTGGCCTATGAATCAGTGTTTATTTTACACGTGTGCGGATCCAATCAAAATTTCAAATAAAACAATTTGATTGAATCCGCACACGTGCGCACACTTTTGCGCACGTGAAAAATGAACACTGATCTGAAGGT